TAAGGGTCTAGTATCCAGAGTATATAAAAAATTGACAACTCAACAACTAAAAGACAACCTAATTTAAAATTGGGCAAAGGATTTGAATAGACACTTCTTCAAAAAAAATGGACAAACAACTGTGAGCAATGAGATACCCAATGTCATTTGGGAAATGCAAATCAAAACCCATGAGACATCATTTCAAACCCACAAGTATACCTACAGTTCTTTTTCAAAAAAGAAAAACTGGTGTTGATGAGAATGTGGAGAAATTGGGATTCTCATACATTGCTGGTGGGAATGTCAATGGTACAACTGTTTTTGGAAAAGTCTGGCATTTCTTCAAAAAGTGAAATACAGAATTACCATGTGACCCACCAATTTCACTCTTAAGTACTTAACAAAATGACCTGAAAACAAGTACAAAAAATTAAATACAAATGTTCATAGCAGAAATACTCATAACAGGTAAAAAGTGAAAGCAATTCACTGTCCATCAACTGATGAACAAACAGAATGTAGCATATCCACACAATGGAATATTATTCAGTCATAAAAAGGAATGAAGTAGTGACACAGCTAAAACGTGGATGAACCTAGAAAACATTACACTAAGTGAATGAAACTAGACACAAAACGTCACATATTGTGTGATTTGTTTTTTATGAAATACCCAGAATAAGCAAACCCATACAGATGGAAAGCAGATTAGTAGTTTCCATGGACTAGAAAGGGGAGAGAATAACTGTTAACAGATAGATTTCTTTTGGGAGAGGTAAAAATATTTCAGAAGGAGAGAGTGGTGATGGTTGCACAACACTCTGAATGCAATAAAACCATGAAATGTACATTTTTTAATGATTAAAATGGTGAGATTTATGTTACATAGATTTTACTTCAATTTTAAAAAACAGTGAAGTAGTGATGCATACAGTAGCATGGATGAACCTAAAGCACATAATACTATAAACTATATAAAGGAAGCCTGATACATAAGAGTACATATTATATAATCTCACTTATATGAAATTCTAAAATAGGCAAAACAAATATAGGATCGAAATGAGAGCAATGGTTCATCAGAAGAACAACCAGTAAAGCACAAAGGAAACATTTTGGGGTAAGGAAAATGTTCCATACTTTGAGAGAGTTAGGGATTACACATTTTTATGCATTTGTCAAAGCAGACCAAACAGGATGATTAAGAATTATGCATTTCATCCCCATCACTTATTTCACCCATCCACCCACCCAATTCCCTTCTGGTAACGATCAGTTTGTTCTCTATTAACTGCAAAATTGTTCCCTCAATTTCCTTCCACTGCTTGAGACCATCCTCCACTGTTAGAATAGAAATCTGTTTAATTTAACCTTCAGAAATGGGATAGGAATTTTTATTGCTGCCTGGGAGCTTCCATTTAATCATACTGTATTTGCTTTCTTTAGTATTGTTTGGCTGTGGGAATGGGAAGGGGAAAAATATAATTTGCTGAGTGTCATCTGTTAGAGAAGTAAAAATCCTTGGGTTGATTTAAAATAGAAGTTGGGATTCTTTTATGACTGAATAATATTCCATTGTGTGGATATGCTACATTCTGTTTGTTCATCAGTTGATGGACAGTGAATTGCTTTCACTTTTTACCTGTTATGAGTATTTCTGCTTTGAACATTTGTATTTAATTTTTTGTACTTGTTTTCAGGTCATTTTGTTAAGTACTTAAGAGTGAAATTGGTGGGTCACATGGTAATTCTGTATTTCACTATCGTTCTGCTCCTCACCTGCCTCTTGAAGGTGTTTTCAGTACAAGGATGGCTTCTTGAACCTTCTTGTTTTTTAAGTGCTTTTTGATTTATCTCAGAAAAAATAATACTGATTATAAACATTTTCCTTGAACTGCTTAGTACTTAGTATGATGCACAATAATAATTATGTATATCATTAAATGACAGTTATTTTGGTCCTCTGATTATAATAGTAAACTCTCCACTTTAGTTTACACATAATAAATGTTTTTGTCAGTTAAAAAAAAAGTATTCATTTCACTGAATAATCAGATCTTCTATAACACTTGTTTTGATAACATGAATTTTTTTCAACATGATTGATATATTAGGGAATAATAGGAATAGAATTTTGTATTTGTTTATGCATGATTTAGTCCATGAAAAACACTAGTTGAATGCCAAAAAGAGCACACAATTTAACTGAGCTAAACAGTACACAAAATGCACATACCTCAAACATCTACCACCTGCCTTAGCTCACCATGTGTTACAAGCCATTCCCATTCACATCCATTGTTGCAATTTTCTAATTTCATACAATCCATTGTACTGAGTTGACCAGTGTCCTTCAAAAAGCCATGTTCACGTAGATCCTATAAATATGACCCTGTTTGTAAATAGTTTTTGCAGATGTAATCAAGTCAAGATGAGGTCATACTAGATTAAGGCAGGCCCTAACTCCGCTATGCCTGATGTCCTTGTAAGAGGGAGATATGGACACAAAGAAACACAGTACACAAGGAAGAAGGCTCAGTGAAGACAGTAGCAGAGATCGGAGTGACCATATTTACAAACTAAGAAATACCAAGGAGTGCCAGCAACCACCAGAAATTAGAAGAGGCAAGCAAGAATTCTTCCCTAGAACTGTTAGAGAGAGCATGGACCTACCAACACCTCAATTTTAGACTTGTAGCCACCAAAACTGTGACAGAATAAGTATGTCATTTAAAGATACCCAGTTTGTGGTAATTTGTTATCACAGCCTTAGGAGAGTAATACAGCCACCTCCTACGACTTCATAAGTAACTCATAAGCTAAAACCCTTCTGAAGTCCATTTCCACAAACATTAGGTCTTTTTCAAATCAAAGTATTATATTATTTTTTTATATCCATTTTACATGTCTAAAACTGTGCTACCATTTTTACTAGGTTCCTATCATTCTCCATGTCGCTAATATCATTAAATGACTATGTACGTACTATGTATGTATGTATGTATGTACTATGCCCCAAAACACATTTCTCCCATAAGCACTGCACTTCTTAGTTGAGCAATTTTCCATAGCACAGTGCTTTTTAGGAACACATGTGTCACATTATAGCAGAACTGTCCATAAATTTTACCTCAGTTAAAAAAAATAAGAATGCAATGCTTGGGTATCATTTAGAACTCTAAATTCATATAAGAAATAAAAATGATTAAAATTAATAATCTAAATATTGGTTTCAAAAAGTTAAAGATGATTTTAACTTTGACTTATAATTTCTATAACATAAAATTTACCCACTGTAACTGTTAATTCAGTGAATTTTATTAAATTTTAAGGTTTTGTAACCATCACCACAGTGTAGTTTAAATACACCATTATCATCCTAAGAGTTTCCTCATGTACATTTGCAGGCATTCCTCATTTCTACCAGTAGTCCTAGGCAGTATGCTATAGTATAATATATATAACTGTATTCTACATATGGTATATATTTCTAATTTTCAGATGTTTAAACTATTGTTATATTTATATTTTATTATTTTCAAGTATTACATATTTATCATATATAATATATACTCATATATATGTATCTAGTTATTGTTCTTCAAAACAAGATAGAAAACTCTCTTTTTTTTTAACATTGCAACCACCTACCAGCTTTCCATTTGCATATAGCTTAGATTAATTATCAAATAAGGCAGGCAGACAGCTTCTTAGTAGCATTCAGTTATGAAGAAATCAAGTTGCCTTGATTGATCATGTATATTTCCTAAGTTTTCATCTATACAAGCATTGCATAGGTTGGCTTCCTCTACAAACAGTTAATTTCACATTTTCTGGTATCACTGTCAGAAATTCAACAGTTTCCAAATCTTAAAGAGTATCTTCTTAGTTCAAAATCTCTAGCTACTACTTATCCCTATCCTTTCCCAGTCAAACTAATTAATATCTAGGTTACCTACACTCTGACTCCTCCTCACTTCTCAACTACACCAATATAGATTCCATCTCTTCTACTCAACTGAAATTCAAACTCAGCTATACTGACAAATAGCTGCTGTTTTCTACATTTAGTGAACACTAGTCCGTCTTCATCCTACGTGATGGCTTGTAAGCTTTTTATACCACTGACTTCTTTCTTCTTCTCATGATTTTTTCAGTATTTGTGCAAAACCAGTTTCGTAACATACCCTCTCCTAGTCTTCCTCCTCCCTAGTTGCTTTTCATCATTATTGTGGCATATTTTTCTTTCCCTGTCATTTAAATGAGGATGTTCTTCAAGCTACTGATTTTTAATGCAAATCAGCATCATCCTGGCTAACAAGACAAATAAAGGTGCTAACTCTAGCAGAGTTTCAAGATAGGCTTTTACTGTGGTTCAAGAGAAGTGATGTGAAAAATCATTTGTTTAAGAAAAGTTATTCAGCATGCTATTTCCAATTTATTCAGTGGTACTGAACATGCCAATTAATTTTTTTGGTTATGGTTTCTCTATCTTCCAAATTAGTATATTTTTTTTCTTTTTACCTTACTGAAATGCTAGAACATTTCCAAGGTGTTTGCAAATTGTTTTTTAAAGCCTTTGAGGATGTGTTATGTAAGCAACCAATAAATGAAAATGTTACTGTAGCCATAGCTCCCAAATATTTTTTCAATCTCTAACATCATTATATAACATTATAATTTGGCAATGCTCACAGTTATAAAGTGAACTTCTAGTTTTAAATTTAGAGGCATTTACCCTAAAGTATTTCTTCCATTTTATTGTTGTTTTGAATCACATCAGATAATAACAAACATACAAATCCTTTCTTAACAAAGGTTGTCCTGGCCTATGATAATGAATCATCTTTATTTTGGGTTATTAAAAACCAACATATCCTAAATAAAATAATTCATCAAAATAAGTTGTAATGTCATCTCTTTTCTACTATTTAAACCCTAATCAGTAGCTAGATATATTTGCAGGCCTGCATACATAAAGACATATTCCCAAAGACATATTCTTTTGGTGTTGATAGATCTCTCCTTAACTGAGGTCTTGAAGAAGACATGTATCATAGTTTTATAATCTCAGAGGAAGAAGAACCCTAAGAACTTAGGTGCAGTGGCAGAAGAGTCTCACAGTGTTGGCTCCACAGTCAGATGGACTGCATTTCATTTCAGTCTCTGCTACTTAGTACTGGTGTGAATTTGGTAAGTTATTTAATGTAACTATGCTCAGTTTTCTTATCTGTAGATTGGGTAATAATACCTACACTGTAAGAATTGCTTACATTAGGGGCGCCTGGGTGGCTCAGTCGTTAAGCGTCTGCCTTTGGCTCGGGTCATGATCCCAGGGTCCTGGGATCGAGCCCCACATCGGGCTCCCTGCT